TATTTTTTCGTACTTATTAATTTTTTTTTTTAGTTTAGCATGTGTCTTATTGATTTTGTGGTGAAAAAAATAATAATAATCATCAAGAGATTTCCTTTCATTGGGACGTGTAACAGAGATTGAGGGTATCTATAATTTTCCCAAGTCTAGACAGGGGCTTATCTTTAATTCCACATAATCAGTAAAATATCAACTTGTAACGTCCACATGTAAGGAAATTTGCTAAAGAAGTTCTTTCAAATTCAGTACTTAAATCTCTTCTTGATGTTTGTTGATAGGTTTAACAACGTGATTTTCCAGACGTCATAAAACAAGCATGTCCTCACCATTACTCTCTCTTAAGTCCTCCATGCAAAACCCACCCTCTCCTAACCATTAGTCTTTCTCTTGCATCCATCGATATGGACCATCTGAAACCCACGAGTTCACTTGACCACTCTCTCTTTGCCTGTACAAACCCAGCCCCACAACAATGGACAATCTCAAAATCCACCACCCAACTAAACCACTCTCTCTAACTCCCTCGTTTTCCCTATATAAACCCAGCCTCTCCACTTTTGATCCTATTTGCTTGTCTCTTTCTGTCTCTCCATACCAGCACAACCCCAGCACCTCTCATTCCTTTTCCATTTTTCTCTCTTCATATCAACGCAATCCCGCCTGCGTTTGTCTCACTCCCACAACTCATTCTCTTCTCACCCCAACAAGATTTTCCTCCTCCCTCTGCCTCTTTCATATTCCAGCATCCACATCCAAGATTCCGATGGCCATGCTCAGGATTCTGACTGCAAGATGCAAGATAATGTTGTCATCATTCACGATTAAAATTACCAAAGGCAGGATTGTGCCCATGGCCATATTCTCAAGATTTCGGCAATGGCCATACATTTGTTCTTTACAACAGGAGCTTCCCTTCTAGCTAGGCCTTTGGGGGCCACATTACTGCCCACAAACACACTCTTTCCAAGATGAAATCAAAGGATAAGAAGAAAGAGAGCAACAAAAGTATACTTTATGAATGCATGATTTGTGGGTCGCACTTTAAATCTTCTCAAGCATTGAGTGATCACATGGGGCCTCATAGAGCATCATGAAAGCATGAAGCTTCCTTATCTAAGAGTTCCCTTGCCCCACTCGAGATTATTGATTTTTTAGTTCTTTGGACATTCATTGTTTTTTATTTTATTTATATTATTTTTTGTTTTTGTTTTAGAAAATTTTGACATCCGTTGTTTTTGGCTTTATTTATTATATTTATTTTTTATGTTTTAGAAAATTTGGATTGGGTTTCTTTACAGTTCCACCGGCTGATGTTTTTCCTCCTGCACCCAAAAATTACACTCTATAATATTGTGCTCTTCTCACTTTAAACCAGTCATTAGAGATTCTTGTATTCGACAAATTTTGGTGCCTAGGCTTGACTATGATGTACTGAGCATTCTTTTGATAGAAAAAAATTACCATTTATTAGTAAAAGATTAATATTATATTTTGATAGATGCCATTGATTAATATTGCGTTTTGAAAGTCACCCTTATCAAAAAGTGTACTCTCTCCCCATCCGCTTATGCCTTGCTTGCTTTGACCTTTACAACCGGGTGAGAATTCCCTCGCATTATGGTGTAACCAAAAGTATCAAACAATGTGAAGAGTCCACTACTAGGCATAAAAATCACCAAGGTTAGTGTAAATTCATGCTTGGTAAAATGTGCATGAGTTATTACAACTTGCCAACCTAGATTTCAGAAAAATGCTCATTTCGTGATTTTTTAGTGGATCTCAAAATTTTGAAAATGAACTGTCCGGATAATATGTTACAAGATTTACTATTTTTTAAATCCATTTTTTGATACATGTGTGGTTTGTATTAGGCTGAGGCCCAAGATAATCAAAGCAAGGCACACCTTCAAAGATGTTGTTCAGCACTGAAAATCTTTGTGACAGCTTAAAAATTTATTTATATCTCTAATTATAAAATTTGTGAGAAGATTATTGTGTAAGGTACCCATTTTAGAAAAGAAAATAATTGCATTAGGTCAAGGCCCAAAAGTGATTTGCTTGACTTCAAATTTTGCAAATTTATATCTCATCCCCAAATATATCTCTTGAATTTCAAAATGATTGGTTGTAAGAGTCACATGAATAGACGCAATTCCACAAAAACATTCTCAAACTTTGTGACTCACCCACGCCATCCAATTTGACATCTAATGAGTGGTAATAATTGTGACCTTCATGTACAAAAGATAAAGGTCAATCATTCCATACAACCGTTGTATAGTAATATGATGTAACGACATTAAAAAACCATCTTATGGCCATCTGTTTGATCTAAATTTTGAAATATACACTATTTTCAATCTAATGAACAATCTTAAAAAAATAAAAAAATAAAAACACAACTTAGAAAGTATTTTGTTAGCCTAATTAACATAGGTCGTTCATTTAGGTGAGATGCTTAGATCTAGGACTTAGAAGGAGTTTTCATTTCCAATTTTTTGGGTGGCTTTATTATCATTAGATGAACAATGTTAAAAAAAAAATATTTATTTTGAATTTATAAAGGCTAAGATCTTGAAATCTACAGAGTGAATGGTTTAGATTCGTTCTTGGAAAAGACTCATTTTGACCATATCTACAAATTGAACTTTTTTTTAGAGGGGGATTGATTATTGAAATGAAGAGAGAGTGTTTGTATAAAATTTGGACTCATACAAATATCACAAACATGTTTTTTTAGAAGTGTCGTTGCATTAAACTATAATACAACCGTTGCATAGGATCATTGCTCAAAGATAAATAATTTCTTTATAAACAATCCCATTTAATAAAAAGTTTGGATTGTAAAAAGCTAATACCCTAACTAATGAAACCAGACACACCTTTAAATAATGTCGAAAGATGTTTATTCAATACTAGAAATCTTGGTGACCTAAAATTGATTTTTATATCCAATTATAAAATTTAAAACTTCAAAAATAGTGTAGAATGAGTAAATCTATGAACTCAAAACCTTAAAATTGACAGCCCAAAAAATACATTACACAATGCACTATTTTCAAGACTTGGAATCATTTTTTCTCATGCCCATATATCTTGAAGTAGAGATGATCAATTAGAGGATTTTTGGACACTAAGACCACCTCTTCTAGTAAATTCTTGAGATGCACCTTCATATAATTGTTTAAGGCCTCTCCGATAAACTTTCATCTTTAATCAAACAAGGGAAAACTATGCATATATCCGTATCAAACAAGGGAAAACTATGCATATATCCGTTATAATTTTCGTTATTACAAAAATACCAAATAGTTTCGATTATTACTAGAATATCTATTTTTTTCACTTTATAACGAAAATTTAAATTAAAAAAAAAAAACTTTTATCTTTTTTTTAATTTATGAACAACCAAAATGACTGGATTTTCGATTGTGTAAAACTCGAAAATATGCTAATTTTAATTCTTGAACAACCGAAAATAACAAAGCTCATTTAAACTTCTGAAATACGCAATCTTATTTTCAGTTGTTGAACAACCGTAAATATGACATTTCGATTGTTGAACAACCGAAAATAAAAATGCAAATTCCAAACTTCTGTCCTATTTTCAATTGGTCAACAACAAAAAATAAGATATTTTTCGATGTTGAACAACTGAAAAATAAGATTGTGTATTCCAAAAGGTTACTGGAATACGCAGGCCTACTTTCAATTGTTTAGTTCTATTTTTGAATGCTGAACAACTGAAAATAAAACATTTTGGGATGTTGAACAACCGAAAATAAAATATTTTCGATTGTTCAACGGCCAAAAATGTATTGTTTTCTACTGTTAAACAGTCGAAAATAAGGTTGCATATTCCAACAAGCTTCTGAAATGCACAGTCCTATTTTACGTTGCTCAACAACCGAAAGCAAGACATTTTCGATTGTTCAACAACCGAAACTAAGACTGCAAATTCCAAGCTTCTGCCTATTTTCAATTGTTCAAAAATAAAAAAAGGTAAAAAAACTATTTTTTTAATTTTCATTATGAAATGAAAAATACATACATTCCAATAATAAAAAAAGAAACTATTTAATATTTTGATAATAACAAAAACTATAACGGATATATACATAATTTTCCTATAAAACAATAAACAATTTAATAAAACATTGAGTTTTTAAAAGCCACTCACGGAACGTACAGCTACTAAACAAGTTCAAAAATACAATTTTCTAGGCTTTTCCTTCAAACTCTTTTTTACGTGCATTTTTTACCTGTTCACGTGTGCCAAATTTAAGCAAAAATTTGAGGTCCCTACATTGAAGGACATAACACTAGGGCCAACAAAAAATTTTCCCACATAAAAAAAATTACCTGTTACAATGTTATATGTTAATTTCTCTTGCTTTATGTGGCCAAATTTGAACATTAAGGAGAAGCTTTGTCATCCTTTCCCCAAAATGAATTGTGTTTTCAATCTTTTTAAAACTCTCATTTTCACCTGCCTTATCCCTCAAAATCCATTTAGAACATTGAATTCTCCCGTTCTCATTTACACTTGCCTTCTCTCTCTCTCTCTCTCTCTCTCTCTCTCTCTCTCTCTCTCACTCACACACACACACACACACACACACACTACACTACTACTACTACTACTACTACTAACTAACTAACTAACTAACTAACTAACTAACTAACTAACTAACGTAAACTAACGTAACGTAAC